GTGGGAGATGGAGCAACTTCTATATAAAAAGTATTTTAATTACACATATTTTGAATTTATTATCTCTTGTTCGATAAATTTTAACATAATTCGGCGAAATAACCTGAATAAATATACAAACTATTAGTGTATTCTTACCCTTGTACTAGCGGTGCTCGCCTTCTGTTGGGCTATCAAAGCATTAGAGTCATAAAACTCTGACAATCCCAAACAACCAATGAATTGATCAAAATTTGTGGACGACAACTGTCATGACCTAGAAATTGGATCCGTGATCGATGTTAAGATTAAAATAAATCTTAACCTCGCAAGTCTAATAGAAAGTACAAAATTTAACTAAACTGATAATCTAATATAAAAACAAAATGTAATCCAAACTATATCAACTAATCTATCAATATATAACACAAAACTGTTCTATAGTCAAATAAAACATACTAAAATTTCAAAGATATAAAGTCTGATAGAAACTAAATAACTAACTTTTAAAATCCAAACAAAAATAGCAGTAATACGGACTCCTCTCGGATAACAGAATTCGTGAGACCAACGAACTCAGAATTCGGAAAAAAATAAATGTAAGTCTACAGACCTAGTGAATAATAATATGTATTTATGAGAATAAATGACATATATACAGATATAACATGTAATTCACTAAAAATAGGCTTTTAACAAATAACCATAATTTAGGAAGTTCTTAATCCAAAACGTTATAGATATCAGAAAACAGGATTGTGACACTTAGTCTGTCGGAAATTAGGACGGCGACATAGCAGGTCTACCGATAATCAGGGCAACGACATATCATCAGCCGATAAATAAGACGGCAACATTTTAGTTTATCGATAATCAGGAAGGCGACACACAATTAGTCGAAATACATGTATACAAGTCAGGGTACTCAGGCTAACATCTATTGCTGTTAATTGCAGCATTCTAAAATTCAAAACCCTCTTAAAACATTTTTCCAAAAATAATAGTTTAACAAATTTTTTCTATTTACAAATATAAACTGAATCAAACGTAAGTAAAGATAGTTTTTCCAAAATAATTCTAGAAATTACATATATGTCCCTTGTTATACTTTTTAACAGAATTTAATTAATTTTCAAGGAAAATAGATATATTATATAAAATGAGAGTTTATCACAAATATGGAAAAAATAGTAAATGCTTATAAAATATATATTATTACTCACAAAAATGACGAAATCCGATAAATCAAATCTAAGTCACATAATAGTAAAATATCTCAATTATACTTCTAATATATTTAAGAATTGAAGAAATGAAATTTTCCTAATTAAGGAACAGAATAAAGTTATAAATTTTTCGTGCTTGAACCCATACCAAGGCTACTAAAGTCTCGAACCGATTAAATAAGTTATGAATCGAGTGCCAAGGTTATGAACCAATCTTATAAACATAAAAACCAGTTTATTTAAACCCAAAACTATTATTTAATGTGCTAAACCGATCCTGAATTGGCCATTAAGAGGCTAAACCGACTATGAACTGGCCATTATGTCACTAAACCGGTCGTAAATTGCTTCTACTATACTGAACCGGCCTAAAAAGCATTGAACCCACATTGTTACTCACTGAACTGGCGGCCAGGCTTATGTATTAAATCCTTTGAACCAGGCCTAAAACAAATAAATTTATCACTAAACCATCATTGAACTAGTTAGTTTAAGAGTTTATCTATTTTATGTTGCCCTAAACTGGAGGTAAACCGGTTGGAATCCCTGTGAACTGGCCAATTTTTTATCTATTTCCTTACTTAATTATTTTATTAATTTCCTCTTCCAAATCCCGAATTCGAATCTGTTACCCAACCTGAGTAGCCACTTGGTTCAACCCAAACAAAAAGCCTGTTCCTTATTAAATTCCTGGCCTAGCCCAGACCTGGCCCGGCCCAAAACCATTTTACCCAGCCTGTGGCTTGAACCCAGTTCTATGAACCGGATCCTACAAAGACACGTTTGTCTCACTTGGGTCTCCTGCGCAACCGATCAAAATCTTTGAAAATTAAAACTTAAATATGAAAACTTACTTGATGATTCTTTGTAGACTGATTTGTCCAAGCTCCACAAGCCCCTAGCAATTATTGATTACACTGGTTCAGTTAGGAAAAGAAGGGATTGAGAATTCTTTGAGTTATATACCTGTAACGGTTCGAGAAGAAGTTTCTGTTTCAAATTGATAATTTGAGCTAAAAAATTTCTCAAATTGCTTTAGGAGTTTGTTTCCTCTTTCACTGTTGCATGTATAGATTCAAAGATTTCAAATCATATCTACTTAATTTGGTCGAATTTTGATTATCCTTGATCATGGGATCCATATGGGTGAAGATCCAAAAACAAAATCTAAAATCTTTTGATTTTTTTTCTCAGTTCAGTCTGTAACTTTCTGATTTTTTGTGATTTAATTTCTCATTTCCTGATTCTGTTCAATTTAGTCCCTTTTTAAGTTTTAAAAAAATTTTAATAATACCCTGAAAATATGGGGTATTATAACAACTGTGATTTCAAGTCTTCTTCTCTTTACAGGCGAAGGACATAGAAGGTGCAAAGGCAGGAGAAGATTGGAATTAATTGTTAAATATATGATACAAAGAAGAATGATAGGAATTAATTGTTCGAAAATAATTGATTTATGTAGTTTTATGTAGATTATTTTCTTTTTTCATATATGTACATGTGTGTGGAAAAGAAATGTAAATTAATTATTAGAAAAGAATTCATTTACGTGATGAGAAAATGAAATAAATAGAGATTAGTTATTAGAAATGAATTAATTTATATGAATTATTTCATTGATATATGTGTGTGTATATCTGTGTGTGGACAAAGAAAAAAGATAGGAATTGATTATTAAAAAATAATTAACTTACATAAATTATTTCCTTCTTATATATACACATGTTGTAAATTATATATATATATATATATATATTTTCATTTCTATGCCTACATATAATTTATCACAATCTGATATTTGATTTTTATGTGATATTTTAATTTTTGTTTACTAATTTATTAATTTATTATATTATTTTATTTTATACTATTATTATAAATTTATTTTATTTAATTTATTATCTTATTCAACTTTTTGGTACATTATTTTACTGGATATTTGATTTAAAACTCAAACTTTTCAATATTTAGTTTACGTGGGATCATTTAATCAATTTTTTTCCAATAATTAAGCCCTATACGTTTCCTTTATATATATATATATATATATATACACACACACACACCAACAAACAGTTTTTTTTGGTCATTTATTCAAGTTCTTAATATGTTATTTAATATTATTTTATAAAATTTATTTTAATATTTATAGTCATTATACCTCATGTTATTTATTTAATTCAATAAAAATTGTTATTTATAATATTTTTGTACTATCTGTCTCTTTTTTAATCCCGCGCCTCACACAAGTTTAAGCACTAATAAAATTTGTAATTTATGCAAAAGCTGATAAATTTATATTTTTAATTAGATATTTATCTTGACCTAGGTGAAAGCTTAAATTTTTATTTAACTCACTTCTCATGTGTACCAAACGTGAAATATAAGTTTATTAGAGCATGGCACTGCATGGCTGCCCTTTCATTGTGTTAATAGAAATTGTAATTATTACCATAATAACTTATCCCATTCTTATCCTTTCGTGGGTTTGGTTTTTGATTTTTTGAAAAAATAAAAAATTGCAGGAAAATAAAAATAATTTAAAAAAAATTACTTTGGGGGTTGCCTTATACTCCATTGTAATTTAAGGGAAGACAAAATTGGATCCAAATATGTGCCATTTTTGTCTAACACTTAGGCTTGATTGGACAACAGAGGAGAGGAGGAGAGATATAGAAGGAAAAGAATCCATCATTTAAGAAACATAATGTCACCATCTTTGCTGTGTTGGTTCCTTAAAACGAAATAAGGATGGGATCATTTTTAATTTTTAGTACAGAAAAAAGGAAATAATAATGAAGTACGTATCAACTTTACCATTTTTAAAGTAAAAGTCCTTTCCTTTTATAATCTATTCAATTTTGAACACCTTGATTTTTGGGTTTTGGACAGGTAAAAGAAAATTCCTTCCCTCAATCATTTCCATCCTTTCATCTATCCCATCTGAGACAAAATCATTTTCTCAATCCCTTTCCTCTGTTCCAATCCTTTATTTCCTATCTACCAAACATGGCATTAAGGAGGGATATATGAGTTAATTAATATGCTTTTAATTTTCCATCACATCTTCCTTCTGGTAAATGTTTAAGATTATGCAATAATATCTTCTCATCTTCACTTTATCCCTCTGAAAACAATACCTTAAATTTAGAGAAAATTATTGTTTAAGTACATAAATAATTTTTTTATCAATTCTGTATATCAAATTTTTTTCTACCTATTTAGTATATAAATCTTTTAAATATTAAAAATTTAGTACATTCATTAGTCTGTTTTATAATTGACTAATAATCAATCTGCTACATACAAACATAATATTTAAATGATAAATAAAAGCCAATTATTCATGTATGTGTATAATAATATTTTAATAATATGTCGTTAAGCCATTTATTATTTAAGTATTTCGTTAATGTATAAATAGATTGTTAATTAATTTTAACTCAAATGAATAACCGTTCTAAAATTTATAATATTTAATTATTAATATATTAAATTAATAAAAAATTTTAATGTACTATAATCTTTCATTTTCCAAACAATAATATTCTCTTTTTACATGGCATGACAGTGATTCAATTAAAAGAACCACTGTGTCCAGATTAGGCAGTTTTATTAGGATACCATCCAGCTAACTTGGACCCTTCCATGGACCCATGCCTCTGCCGGCAGCATGACCCAGCCCTATTTCGCCCGCGCAACCCGCATCCCCTCTTCAAAACCCCCTCCCTCCCTCCCTCACATTTTCTCTCTTCAAATCTCCCAAACTCTCCTCTCTCTCTCTCTGCGCTGGCCATGCAACCGTCGGCGGAAGACATGGCCGATGACCTTGACGCCCTCAGCTTCGAGTCCACCACCACCAACAACACAGCCACGAGTTCCGGGTCCGAAACTTCCGGCAAGGCCCGACCACCCGTCTCGGGGGATCCGCGTTGGGATGCCATCCGCAGGGTACGACGCGAATCCGGGCACATCCACCTGGACGATATCCGGTTCATCCGGCGGCTTGGGAGCGGCGACATTGGCAGCGTTTACCTCGCGGAGCTAAAAGGCGCCGGTGGGTGTTCGTTCGCAGCCAAGGTAATGGACAAGAAGGAGCTCGCTAGCAGGAACAAAGAGGATAGGGCAAGGATAGAGAAGGCAATACTGGAATTGTTGGAGCACCCATTTTTGCCCACGCTTTATGCCACCATGGACTCTCCCCGGTGGTCATGTCTGTTGACGGAATTCTGCCCTGGCGGCGACCTTCATGTTCACCGGCAACGACAGCCAGAGAAGAGGTTTCACGAAACAGCAGTCCGGTGAGTCGATTTCTCTCTAGAACATTGCAATAATATTATGGGGTCGTGTTTGTTTGTGAGATTTGTTTCTCAAATCTTTTATGCATTAAATATTTAAAATTATATTAAAATATTAAAAAATTTATTTCTTTATGATATATATAATTTTGTTTATATTATATTTTATTAACTTATCATATCTAATAATATCATTTTTAAGTTTGTAAAACAACAGAATCGAACTGAACTATTAAGCTTGCGTTTCACTCATTCAATTTTAGTCAAATTTATATGCAAGTCTGAATTTAACTTTAGTTTCAAGTTTTTAATGACTTAAATTTATTAAATACTATTTTTAATAATTTAAATAATTAGTAAAGTAAAAAATATTTATATTAATACCTAATTATTTATTTAGTTATATAATTATTTATATAACCATATAAACTCATATATAAAATTAGTCATAATTATTAATTATTAAATAAAATTATAAATAATTCTAATCTAATAATTTATGGATAAATTATCTAATCAACCCTAAGAAAATGAGCTATGGAATTAATTTCTGGTTAATTAGAAATTGCCTCACTTAGAGTGTTAAGTTCATAAATAATCTATTTAAGAAAAAATACAGCATACCGTCTAACATATTATTATGGTAACCTTTACACCTAAAATATAAAATGTAACAGTTTATCTCTTAAAATTGAAATCACGTCTAAAAATAATTAACAAATTATTTAATTTACTATAACACTCCCTCAACCCCTATTGTTCATAATTTAATAAAGGCTACAAGTAAAATAACAGTTTCATTATAACAAAAAATACAATTAATTAAAAATTCTAACTCTAAGCAATTTTGCAAAATAAAAACTTTCGTTATAATTCCAAAAAAAAAAAGAAAGAAAATTCTTACATCCTTTGAGCAGATGATATTATAGGTTGTGGATAAGATTAATTTTAGGAGAATTATTATATTGTTTTTTTTAATTATATTGAATGCGATTATTTTATAGATTAGTTGAAGGATTAGATTTTTAATTAATTATAAATTTTTTTAGTTATAATGAATGATGTTATTTTACATAAAATACTTGTTAAATTATGAACAGTATAAACAATGCAAGTTAAGAAATATTATTGTATATTAAATGAATATATTAATTTTTTTAATTATTTTAATTTTAATTATAAATTTTAAAACACAAATTATTATATTTTATATTTTAGAAATAATAAAATAATAATAATAATAATAATAATAATAATAATAATAATAATAATAATAATAATGATATGGACACGCGAAGCCAGCCGTTGGCGGTTAATGATGGAAGTTGAAGGACAATGATAAGTGGACCAAAGCGTGCCCATTTAGTTTGGGTCCCTACTTCCAGGCCGGCCATGAATGAACTTGAATGACCATAGCCTCTGCTGCATGTCATATACACCATAACATTGCACTTTCAAAAAAATTATTTTTTCCAATTTTTATCTTCCAAGAATTGTCTGCGTTACTTTATAGCCGTCGATCTACCAAGTCTGTGGTTTTTAGGGGAAATCCAATCATGGGATATTCATAAATTGAGGATTGGATTTTCGGGGGGGCTTATTTGCAAAATTAAAAAGATTTAGTGGATTTGGTTACGAGCAAGGACTTGTATGGCGTCAAAGTTGAGGAGTTCATCCATTTGAACTATAAAGTAGTTTATCAACAATGAGAAACAAACATTGCCTTATGATGTTTGCAGGTTCTATTCATCAGAAGTTGTGGCTGCCCTTGAATACCTCCACATGATGGGAATTGTATATCGCGACCTAAAGCCCGAGAACGTGCTCGTCAAATCAGACGGTCACATAATGCTAACCGATTTCGATCTCTCCTTAAAATGCGACAGCCCGCCATCAACGGCGCAGCTTGTTTGTGATCAAAACAAACCACCCCCAAACTCATCCTATATTGACGATCCCACTCGCTCATCATGCATTATACCCAATTGCATCGTGCCAGCAGTCTCCTGCTTCCGTAGGAAACGCAGGCGCCGGAGAAGGCCAGGCCATCGTGGGGCCCTGGAGATAGTAGCCGAGCCAATCGACGCTCGGTCCATGTCATTCGTCGGGACCCACGAGTACTTGGCCCCGGAGATTGTCTCCGGCGATGGTCACGGCAATGCGGTGGATTGGTGGACCTTGGGGATATTCATGTTCGAAATGTTTTACGGTGTGACGCCGTTTAGAGGGACGGAACATGAGCTAACCTTAGCCAATATTGTGGCTCGAGCCCTGGAGTTCCCCCAGGAGCCGGTCGTGCCCGCGCCGGCGAAGGACTTGATGGCGCAGCTCTTGGTCAAGGATCCGTCGAAGCGCATGGGATCGGTGATGGGGGCTGCTGCGATCAAGCGTCATCCATTCTTTGATGGGGTCAACTGGGCACTGTTAAGATGCACGCCTCCACCTTTCATCCCATGCACCGTTACACACCGGAAATTTGCTGCTAAAAACGATGATTGTCCTAATGCTTCCATACACAGTACTGTCAGTTATTTTTGAGTTATTAAAGGTTATTTTTCTTCTATATATATATGTATTAGATAGAAAAAAAAGAAACAAAAGTTTAATTCACTAAAAATACTTAAAAATTTGTAATCCTGTAACTGAGTTTAATTTTTTTTAATTTAAATTACTTGATTGTTTGATTAAATTTTATTTGTGAAAGTGGTTAATAAATAATAAATGTCTAATTTATTTAGTTTTTATTATTACTTTATTTTTTACATTTTTAAAAATATAGGCCAGACATTTAATAGACAATTTTTAATACTAATATTATAATTTTTGTTAATTACGAAATATGAAATATTGAAATTATTTACTAGAATATAAAAAAATTAGTAGTTGAACAATAAGTTTATAGTAGAAAGAAATTGGAAAAGAAATTGATTTTCATATGTGAACCAGTTTAGTTCGAACCAGTCTAGTTCAAACCAGTTAGTTCTGCACCAACTTTCTGCTGATTTTGTGAATTAACTTCTATATAGAAGCCCATTTTCCTCCTCCCCTATTACTTCTTGTGCCGCCGCTTGCCCCTTCTTCCTCTTCCTCTTCCCTCTCCTCGTTGGGCTATCACCCTTCTCCCCTCTTTCTCTTCCCTCTACTGTCAGCCGCCATTGTTCGTCCTACCTCCGCCCTTATTTCCTTCTCCTTGGTTAACTAATTGATTGGAAGCTAGTTCTGCATCAAATCGTCTTTCTCGACTTTTCAATAAAAGTCAATCTACTACCAATATTTCTTAATACAAGTCGACTTGTTGCTAACTGATTTTTTAAACAAAAGTTGGATATACATCTTATGGTAAATAAAGTTTAAAATACTATATATATATATATATATATAACACCCCAAGTAAAATCTCAGGGAAAATTGTCTTTTTGCCAGGCCAAAGTATGGCCTAAGTTATATGAATGTTATTACTTAATTATATAACTTTCAACATTTAATATTTACCCCTACTTTGTAATTACTTTTCTTAAGGCATTTATGAATTAATAAGTATTTTCCCATGTCATTTTTGTAATTTGCAAATTATGGAGTCTACAATGATTTCATGTTATCCATTCTTATACAAGTACTTAATTTTGCCTATTTGTCATGCTGATGATTGCTATGCTTGATTTCATCACAAATAGTTGCATAAATGTCATTTATTTTAATGAAATGTTACATCAATTCATATTGATTATGCAAAATAACCTTTTCCGTTAAATAAGTTCTAAAAGTGGTCCCCCATATTGATAGAATTTTGTCAACTCAAGAAATCCGATCACAGAAATTAATATTAATTATATTCTGGGTACCGAATTGAGAATTCCAAAAAGCAGGAAACCATTTTTGAAATTCATCAATTATTCCATTGTATGGCATTGGCAAGACAAGCCTGCAATTTTGACTAATGGACCTAGAGCCCGGCCCGCCTGGGTCAGTTTGTGTTTTCTCATCCCGGTTGGACGGCCCAGTAAGATGAATTATTTTTTTTGTTAACACTGGAGGTTTTTTCTTTTTTTTTTTTTTTGGGGGGGGGGGGGAGGGGGGTTGTTTATGAAACTAAATAATTGTTTTAGATTGTTTGTTACCACATAAGTTTTAAACTACCTAACCTTTTTATGCATAAAGAAAAGCACTGGGGAAATCTAAATCCAAAGGAGTTTTCAAATATCTAAAGTTAATCTTATTTATCACATTTCTTGTATTATTATTGAAACAAAATAACAAGCAAATTGTCAAGACCCAAAAATTGGATTCGTGACCACTATTAAGATTAAAATAAATTTCAACTCTACAATTTTAACAGATAATTTAAAATTTTACAGATAAACTCAGATTTTAATTAAACCAAAATACTCTATAAACTAAGAAACCAAATTTAAATTCAAAACCCAATCAAATAGTCTGTATATCAGTAGAAACTTATTTATAGTCAAACAGAGCTATCTAAAAAAAACCAAGAAATACAAAAGAAACAGAAAACTAAAAATCAAATAAACTAACTTCTATAATCGAGAAAGAAAGATAGCAAGATTGGTGGACTCCTATAACGCAACAGGATCTGATTAAATATCAAGTTCTGAATCTGAAAAATAATAAGAGGCGAGTCGATAAATTCAGTGAATAATGACATGCATGTATGAGAACAAGAGACATGTATACAAATATAACAGATATTTAATAGAAAATAAAATTTAACAGCTATATAGAATTTAAGAAGTTTGAAATTCGGAATGTAACAGAAATTAGAAATAAGATAGCGATGCCTAATCTGTTGTAAATCAAGATAGCGATATCTTAGTCTGCTTGTAATCAGATAAACAGGTTTTTTCATGCTGGCCCAATATGAGAGTCTAATATCACCCCTACCAGCTAGGATACAAGTCAAAGTGCAATCAAGCTAATGTTTACTGTCGTTAACTATAGTGTTATAACAATCTGAAATTCCCTTTAAACAGTTTTTTTAGAAATAAGCATAAATAATTTAACAAATTTTTCTATTTACATATATAAATAGAATCAAAAGTAAATAACAAATAATTTTTTTTTTCAAAATGATTTCAAAAATTATATACATATTCTTGTTAAGCATTTAAAACAAATATATTTCAATTTTTTAGAAATTCAGTGTATCAAGTAAAAATTGAAATTTATAAAATATATGAAAAATAGTAAATACTTATAAATGCATATTATTACTTACAAAACCGATAGATATCAAGAAATCTAATATTCAATGACACGACGTAACGAGAATCGTACAAAGAATTTAAAATTATAAAAATAATAAAATTTCTTATTTTAATCCTCTAATGCATCAAGAATCAAATAATTATAATTTTTTAATTAAAAACCCAAGTAAAATTCTAGAGTTTTGTGCTCAAACCTATATTTTGATTATTAAAGTCCTGAACCAATCAAATAAGTCATGAATCAAGTACCAAAATTTTGAACCAGTTTTAGAAAACATAAAATCAACTTGTTAAATCTTAAAATCACTAATTAAAATGCTAAATTGATCATGAACCAGCTACTAGAAGGTAGAACTAGCCATCAACTAGTTATTAGAAGGCTAAACCGGCCATGAACTAGTCATTAGGTCACTGAACTGACCTATAAAACACTGAACCGGTCTTTTAACTCAGTGAACTGGCTGGTTTTATACTAAATCGGACTTGTTTATGCACAGAACTAATTTGAAATCCACTCAAAACTAGTCTTTAATTCACTGAATTGGTCGATTATGTCATTAAATCGGTGATTAAAAACCCTAATTCAATGGTTTAAGGCTTAAATCAGACATATTAACCCTAAATAGGCATTTTACCAGTTGATTTAAATATTAAACTAACTTATTAAGCCTTGAACCAGAAGTGAATAAGTGGTAAACCCATTGAACAGCTGATTTTTTCAATTTTTCCTTTTATTTATCTATTAATCTATTTTTATGAATTAATTTATTTATTTTATTCAGACTCATCTAATTCAACTTGGTCCAACCCATGCGGCCTAATTCGCAACTAGGCCCTTAGTCCAATTGATCAAAGGCCGGCCTAATGTGGCCCATGGACTAGCCAAGATAAAAAATAAAAAAATAACCTAGCCCAATTCAAGGAAACTAGGTGACGGTAAACTCGAATCCTTAACTGGGTTTGCCTTCTAGACCTAATTTGTGCACTGAAAATCTCAATTTTCTTTAAAGATTCGAGAGATTTACGTAAATTTTTCAAAATTTCTTATAGATCGAGCTCAGAATGGACTAGCGACCATGGCAACTCTCGAATTTGGCTTTTAAGTGACTTAATTTGTAGAAATTAGCTTGAAAGCTTCGATTATAGTGGACAGATGAGCAGAACAAAAACTGTGAAATTGATCAGGTTAGAGAATAATTGTTCAGAAATTTATTAAAGGCTTCTCTTCTATGCTCCTAATCGCACAATATATAGCCAAAATTCTGAGACAATAACTTCCAATTTAATCAAATTTGATACTCCTAGTTACGTATATCTGGAAGCTTAAAGATAAGCTCAAATCTAGTTTTTTGAGCATTTCAATTGAGTCCTCAAATTCTTGATCAAGTACAATCTAGTCCCTGTCAACTCCCACTAATTCCATTCGAGCCCCAAAATGTTTAATTTATTCAATTGAACCCTCTAATTTCTAATTAGACCCCAAACTTTTTTTTTATCTTAATTAACCCCAAAAATTTGGGGTATTACACAAACCAAATCATTCCTTTTTTCTTTTCTCATCAAACTTAATTAATCATTTCTTTTACTCTATTATTTTTCAATCCAAACATACCCTAAGGGAATGGTTCGTGCTGGTTGGCAGTTGGCACAAATTCCTTGTAGTAAGATGGGAAAGGCATGCACAGAGGAAACAAGACAGTCGCCTGAGAAAGGATTTGATATTTCTATTCTGTTTGGTAGAAGAGATTAGTAAAAGAATGGAAAGATGAGGGGCAAAGTTAGAATTTTTTTTTCCCAACCAACCAAACATGGAGGTTAATTATCGGTGATATAACTCCATTTGCATCCATAATTTCCATGATGACAGCTTCTGGCAACTGGGAGAAGATAATAGTGCATGGACTTTCATTCCTATTATCGTATTGGCTTGTCTCCCCGTGACCTTATTGTTTGTAGCCCTGCAATTCCTCTCTTTGTAGTAATGGTCTGACCCACCAATGAACTGTAATGCAATGATATTTGTATCAACAGTTCCTAGCCTACATACTCCTCAGAGTGCAATGAGAAATCAGTTGCAGGGGAAATATCCTGTATCGAACAACTGCGCTGTCAATCCGTTCAAAATCTCATGCATGGAAGAACATCCAGAGTTCAAGTCGTGCATTGAACTAAACGAATACACATTACTTCTCAATTCAATCCAGCTATATCCAGGATCTTTCTTCAATGCCCTCTCCTTCATGCTTCTCCGTATCTTCGCTGTTTCATTCCACATCTTTGCCTTTGCATAAATATTTGAAAGCATGACAAGAGCAGATGTATCCTCTGGGTCAATACTCAGATTTTCTCAGCAGCATATTTCCCTACTATGATGTCCTTGCTAGATTTGCAGCCTGACAGAAGACAGCGCCAAACCACTTTACCTGGTTCAATTGGAGAATGTTTTATGAAATCATAAGCACTCCTTGTTTCCCCTTTACGTGCAAATAGATTGACAATGCAAGCTAAATGATCTGTCCTTGGAGTGATTTCATGATCCTTGATCATGGAATCAAAGTACTGTAATCCTTCCTCCAAAAGACCCATATGCCCACAGGCAGATAATACTCCTACAAACGTTATATCATTTGGCTTGATCCCATCTCTCTCCATCATCTCATATATCTCTAAAGCTTCCCTACCAAATCCATGTTGGGCATACCCCACTAGCATTGAATTCCAAGAAATCAAGTTCTTAGAAGGTAGATTATCAAAAAACTCTCCGAGAATCACTTAACCGTCCACATTTAGCATACATGTCAATGAGGGCACTTCCCACGACCACATGAGAATCAAACCCAGTTTTATGATACAACAATGAGTTTGCCTGCCCCACTCAATAGCAGGAAGATCACCACAGAAATGCAAAATGATAGAATATGTGTATAGATTGGGCTCAAACCTGTCATGTAACATAAAATTTACCAGTTCAGCGGCCTCTCCGCAATAACTGGAATTTAAACATCCAGAAATCAGAGAATTCCAAGAAACAATATCATGAATTTTCATTTCTTCGAAAAGTCTTCCAAGCTTCTTTATATAGACCAAATTTTGAGTAGAAATCCACAACTGTATTGCCAACAAATATATACGAAAAAAATCCCAATTTTATGATCAAAGAATGGAGTTGCTTTCCAATTACAATTTCCAGTTCATCAGCAAATGCTCCAAGCACAGAAGAGAATGTTCTTTCATTTGGTTTTAGACCAGAAGAGTGCAATTTTTGGGAAAAGAACAATGGCTTCTTTTCCCTTACCTTGTTGAACACACCCTCCCATCAACGCTGTCCATGCAGACGGCAATGGTTCATTTGTTTCCCAGAATGCTTGATAAGCCATGTCCAATTCACCACATTTCATAAAAAAATTTATTAGACCAGTCACAACAAACTGATCCATTCTGATTCCACACTTTACTGCATGCGAATGCACTTGCTTACCAAATACAAGATTTTGAATTTCAGCACATACACTCAAGACACTTGCGCAACAGAATTCATCCACATTCATCCCTGCCCTAAGAAACTGCAAAAGACAATCAAGCCCTCTGCATATTCTCCACGCTGACAATAGCATGAATAAGCGAATTCCAAGAAACAGAGTTTGCTCTGTGATTGCATCAAACATAGACTGAGCATATTTCAACAGCCCACATTTCCCATACAAATTGATTAAACTGTTGGAAACAAAGCTATTCAATGCTTCCTCAATCCTGTAAACTCGTCCATGAATTTCCTTTGCTGTCCTAGCATTTCCTAAGTTAGCACAAGCAGATACTGCCCCAACATAGGTGTGATCGTTTTGATCACAACCATCAGCAACCATTAACCTAAAACAATCCAAGGCTTCTTCTGGTAAACCCGCCGTGAATACCAAGACAACAAAATTGTCCATGATACAGTGTTTCGTTTAGGCATTCTATCAAACAGCTTCCGCGCATCGTCCAACAGATCAGAATTTAGGTACATCGACAACAAATGGTTATTTATATAAACATCCGACCGAAACCCAGATATGATAAGCCTGCAATGGACTGCCTTGCCTCCGAGAATGGATCGTTTGTTTTTACATAAGCGCAGGAGGTTAGAGAAGGACATCGAAAGAAACATGAATTTCGATTCAGGCTTTTTGCTTAGTTTATTAATTCATGGGAGTACTTGGATCGCAGCTTGTCGGCAGCGGGCTTGACCTTGGCTTCGTGCAGCTTCATATTGGCTTCCGCTTCCTTGGCGTTTCTCCTCCGCTCTAGCTGCCGCTTTGTCCATATGCGTTCACTATCCAAGCTAAGCTTAGTACTTTATGACGTCGTTTGGTCCAATGAAAAACCTCTCGACGTTATTTTTCAACTTTCCTGGTACATATCCGAGAAACAGAGCAAAAGGACGTTAATTCATATCGACAAAAAAAAACACTCAAAAAGAAGAAAATCGCATCAATTTCTGGTCTAAAAACAAGTTGAAGAAGTAAATAGCATTTCCAGAAAGAAAAAAGAAAATCCATAGTTAAGAGCACACACCAGTTTTCGTTCCACAGAGAGAGAGAGAGAGCGGGAAAGTTGAAAAAGGTTTCCAGAGAGAGAAAATGAAGTTCGAGGAGAACGGGATTGAAGGAGGCAAGTAAAGGACTCGAAGGCGTGAAAGAACATGAGCGAGCAGAAGAAAACGGCGAGATTTCGATCTTCAACGTCAGCGAAAGGCAGGGATAGCAGATGGGTAAAGAAGAAGGGTGAGCCGTTTATTCATAGAAGTTTAACCTTCAAAGAATTCAAAAAGTACTTAATATGTAAACATAAACATATTTGATAGGAACATCTCAGATGAATTGAAGACAGAAGAAGAGGAGGAAAACAAAGATGCAGAAGAAAATGGAGCAATGAGAGAAACAGACACGTGCAGAAACTCCACAGGCAATTTTTTTTTGAAGAGAGAGAAGGCCTTGAGGACAGATCTGGCAATTTCTTTTTTTCTCTGGGTTACTTTAAAGAAAATGGGGGAGTAAGAGGGGTCGTCATCTCGGTAGTACTCTCGTTTAAGTACATATAATTTTTGAGTTGTCACAGGTATACTGGGAGAAATTTAGTTTGGTCCTCAAGACCCAATGGCAAAACTATGCTTAATATTTTATAATTTCATCTTTTTAATAAATTTTTGATAATTTTTTTAATTAAAATATTTAAATTATGTGTATAAAACAAATATATCCATTTTAAAATTATAATATATATCCAAATAAGATATAAAAATAATCATATTTAAAATTTAATTTATATTATATCTCAAAACTTAATTTATTTATTTATTATTAAATAAATAATAACCTTTTATATAATAAATTTAATAATCTCAAATATTATTAAATCAAGAATCAAAGATCACTAATTAACTTCATGGTTGTCAAGTTATTCTCCCCTCCAAAATCAATTCTGTTCAATTTGAGAGAGTTTAAATTGAAAACTTAATTTTAATTTTTATTTTAGTTTTTGACAACAAAAAACTAATAAAACCAAGTTCAAATAATTAAAAATCATTTTTACAATTAAAAATTTTAACATTTACAATTTAAAATTATATTGAAGAATAATATTAGTTAGTAAAGTATAACATTTTTATGAAAAATAAATAATATATATATGTAGTTCCCTTAAAAATAGTTAGTTATAGAGATTGTCAAACACATATTAAAAGGTAAAATCCAGAGATGGCTTAACCATTTCATTTGCCTCTTTATTATAGTTTTGCACAATCCATAAACTCCAATTGACTAGTTTTATATATGATTGGTTTTAAACTTTAAATTAAGTTTTAATATGATTGGTTTTATATTTTATTTGAACATATATTATAATGTAAAAAGGAGTATATTAGTCTTTATATACATAATTTAAATATTTTGGTAAAAAAATTGTCATGACCCGGTCGTCAAGTCTGTGACCGGCGCTAGGGTGAGGATAATTCCAACCCCGCAAACCTCAGAAGATCTGAATTATAGCAGAACTAAATAAAACTTAATATAATTCAGTCATCAACGTCTGATACAAACTGTCAAAAATCCAATACACTTATTAACATATGAATCTCTGTCTGTGATCTTAGAGCTAACTAAAACAAAGTACATACTAGAATAACAATGACTAACTGCGATACTTAGAAATCAGATCTGCTGGAAGCACGGAATCGAAATCGGCGAACTACTATCACTGAGCGGGATCTGTCGATAAAATTGAACTTGAGTCTGAAAAATAAAATAATGAGTCTATTGACCCAATGAATAATAATACATATTTATATGATGAGAGACATATATCAGATATCCTTAGCATAAAACATAGTTTTCAACTTACACAAGTTAGGGAGTTCGACACCGAGAACTGAATAGAAACATAAGGGCAACCTCATGGGATGCCGATGTACACATATCAGGATGGCGACTAGCAGTCTGCCAGAAATCAATAACAGGCCTACCACGTCAGCCACACATGATAGTCTAGCATCATTCCCTGCTAATTGGGATACAAGCCAAGGTGCACTCAATCTAATACCTATTGCCGTAGTTACAGTATTCTTAACAGTACGATACTCCTTAAAATCATTTATCAGAGTTTAACAGAGAAAGTTTCGAAATTTCAAAGTCTTAATCATGTATCAGTACTTGAAGTAGAAATTCAGAAGTTTTCCAACAAATCAGAGAAAATGCCATACGTCCCTCGTAACTTTTTTCTAAAATAGATTTTCAATTTATGTAAAAACAAGAAATTTTAAATAAGTAAAACAGCATTTCAAACATATAAATATATAATATTACTCACAGAAACCGAGAATCACGCCAAATCGAGCTTCGACGGTTCAGCTTCCCAAAGTTCAACCAATTAATCTAAAATAATCAAAATACTTATTTTAGAACATAATATTTCTCCAAATTAATTTTAAAACTAGATTATTCTTAAAAATCCAACCCTCTTCTTAATTTTCATGTTTTAAGTCATTTCGGGAATTTTAAAATCCCGAACCGATCAAAAACTTTACTAAATCGGATATTCTACACATTGAATCGAGCATAATATCTAATGAACCAGTGAGAAAAAACCACTGAACCGGGATCGAAACCCGTTTAAAACGGTCTTAAATCAATAAACCGGCCTTAATTCCATTAAATTTGCCATAAAACCCGTCTTAAACCGATTGAAACCGGTCTTGAAATGCATAGAACCAGCCCTAACAATCAATGAACTGGACTTAGAATCACTGAACTAGTTAGTCTTTGCCCTAACCGGCCTAAAATAGGTTAAACTGGTGGTTTTCTAATTTTTCTATTAATTTATTTAATCTTGGACCGGCCAGTTCACGATTGAACCGGCCGTTTGGCCTTGTACCGATCACTCATCACGTAGATAATTTAATTATCTATATTTTGATACTTTGAACTGGGCAAGAACCGGTCTGGAAGGGCTTGAAACGGCCAATTTTCCTTTTATGTATTTTTATGTTTTTATTTTCTATATTTTTTTATTATTTAATAATTTCTGGACTGGATCCGGAATTCAGATCCAGTCACTTGGCCAGGTTCTAATTTTCTGGTCAAGGCCTGGCCTGTTGGCCCTGGCTAGACCCAGATACATATATTACTTTTTTTTTGCCAATTCGGCCAAAAAACCTGGGCCGGCCCAAATCTCCAAATTAAACCCAAGCCCTATTAACTGGATCGACCCGATTTATTCGGGTCGTTCCTTCTTTACCCATTTCCCCAGCAACAGCCGAATCAAATTTCTTACCTTCTGGACTCAACGAAACTCGGCAATTACGTTCTTGTCTCGAACCGAATTGACATGGTGACCCTCTCAATGAATCCAATCAAGCTTGAACACCTTCAACTTGATTGATTAATCTAGAACCCAGTTGGACGGACCGGACGAACAAAACCAGCTGACATCTTCTTCAAAAAATCTGATTGTTTCAAGCTTCTATCTGTAAAATTGATTTGGGATTTTTGATGTTGGTTGGCAACCGATCCATAGTATAAATAAAGTTTAAACCAAAACGTTTGATTTTAATTTGGATTTAAAAGGAATCAATTTTGGGTCTGAACGTTGTACGTTATAGACGTTCGGATCCTTCATTAAATTAATTTTTTTTCCCTCAAGTTTGCCAAATTCTAATTTGGCCTTGGGATTTATATAAAAATTATCAAAAATTTACTAAAAGGATAAAATTATAAAATATCAAATCACAAGGATGATTTTACAATTAGGTTTAAACTTGAGGGACCAAACTAAATTTCTCCCCTAAGTAATGCTCTCGTTTAAGTACATATAATTTTTGAGTTGTGATAAGAGCCAGTATACTAGTGTTGTTGGCATGATTAAGGCACGATAAGAACATCAACCGTTGAATTTCGATCAAATTAAATTATTTAAAATTTAAATTTAATTAATTATTTTTATATTTAAAAATAATCTAAAATTTTATAAAATTTATATTTTATTAAATTAAATTCAAATATGATTAATAAATTCAAACTAAATTGGGGTAATTACGAATCTGAATTTAATTAATTATTTTTATATCTAAATTTGATTCGAAATTTTATAAAATTTGTATTTATTAAACTAAGTTCGGACCCAATAAATAAATATGAAATTTGGTAAGAAAATAATATTATTTTATATTTAAATCGTTAACTCTATTATATCAATCATATTAATTCTGAAATTTTTTAATTTTCTCAATTTAAATTTACAACTTTGAATTCATTAATATTATATATAAAATTATTAATTTAATAAAAAAATATTATAAAATTTGAATTTAAATTCTTAATGAATCAAATTACTTAATTTTATATCTAATCTACTCATTAATAATTATGAATATTTATACTTGAATCTAATTTATCGAATATTTTAATTAAATAAGAATTCTGAATTTTAAAACGAACTCAAATCAATTTTAGATTAAAATCTAACATTTTAATTGTCCTCAGCCATAGAACAGACAATTTTACTTGGTCCGTTCTAGTGCCTTTTATTTATTTATAAATGGTGTTTGAAATTTATTAAAAAATGACTCCTCATAGAGCTAGCTTATTTAAATTTACTTTACATAAATATTAATTCTTCAAGTTTACTCTTCTCTAACTCATTTTGTCTAATTTCACTTTTAATTAAATGAGTTCTAAATAATTAATGTTTATAAAGACATATAATCAGCTTCATAAATTTTTTGACTTTGGGCCATGATACCTAATGTAGAATCTACTGGAACCCTAATTAGTAAGAAGATTTAGGTGGCGTATGGTACGGTGGAATAATTTTTGATGGAATGGGAATGGAATCAGAATTCTTATGAGTATTTTGGTGCATACTGATGGAACGAGGATTCTCATTCTATTATTATGTTTGTATATTGGAATAGAGATAAGAAAGTAAACAAAAATAATATTTAAAGACAAAAATATCCTCTATTATAAAGATTTAAAATTAAAAAATGACTTTTAATATATTTTAAATGTATTAAAAATTTTAAAAATTATTTTTTATTCTAACATTAAAATATTAAATTCATAATATGTGTATTTGTATTTATATATATAATAAGTTTAATATATTATTATAAATATAATAAATGATATAATATATCATATTATATAATTTAATATATTATACTAGATATATATAATGCACAATCATATATTATACAATTTTATAGTGTAATATAATATATTAGTATATAATATTATAAATATTTATAATTTTATATATAATAGGATATTTTCGTCATTTATTTAAAAAGTAAAGGATAATATAGTAATTAACACCTAAATAAGGATTCTATCAGAGGATAGAATCCGGATTCCATCACTCTAGTGAAGGAATCCGGATTCCTTCATTTGATGGAACTTCGTTCCTAGGAAATGAGGATTCTCATTCTAAAGTATCTAACAAACATAATTTTTTGACATTTCCATTCCCATTTCTATTCTTTCAAGAAGATTTTTATGTACCATACATCACCTTAGATGTTTATATATTTTAATGTTGAATTTGATCCACATCCAAGACTTATTTCAATTATTTCAGTGAGAAATTTATTCACTGGTTCCGGGTATAACCGGTAACCTTTTCAACCTATACTCTGTGCCTTCGTTTTACTTCAAAAAGAAAAAGATACATAGAGATCTTTATAAAAACATAAACGTAAGTTTATAAAAAATATAAATGAAAATTTATAAAATTATATATAAGTGTTTATATAAGTACATATATAAATTTGCAAAAGATAAATATAACTTTATAAAATTACATATAGGTACTTATAAAAGCATAAATGCAAGCTTGTCAAAATATAGATTTAAACTTGTAAATACAAACGCAAGTTTGTAAAATTACTAATGAGTAATTATAAAAACATTTGATATAATCTTATAAAAACACAAACACAAGTTTATAAAATTACAGATTTGTGATTATAAAAATATAAAGACAAGCTTGTATAAATATAGATATAAAATTGTAAAAATTTAAATAGGTGTTTGTTAAAATTATAAATGGGTACATTTGTGGAAAAACACAAATATATACTTCTAAACACACAAATATAAGATTGTGAAAATATAGATATATACTTGTAAAATTATAAATATATATTTATAAAATTACATATGAATAAGAATTAGAACATGAGGAGAAGAGAAATCCAAAGAAAGAAAAAGAAAAGAAAAAGGAAGAGAGACCCAATGAGAAAAAGAAGGTGAGAATACAAATTGTTCATGGAAGCCGTGAACCACCTCGTGAAGGTTGCAAGTGTAAAGGCTTCCCAAGGTAGGGGCTTTGCATGGGGTGTTTCAGTTGAAGGGCAAGTCTATATGTGCAAAGGTGAGATGGCTCGTGTTGTAATATTTCATCTTATATTTATTTTTAAAAAATAAAATAATATAAATATAAAAAATTAAAAATTATTATTAAACAATTTAAATTAAAAATTTTAAGATTAATAATTTAGACTAAACAAATTATTAAGATAGTAGTTCCCAAGTCATTACAAAAAATATCAGAGCAAAATAATTTTTAAACTCATTCTATTTGAAAACAAATATGAATTTATGATTTAATAAATACGTCAAATGTTTAATAGAATAGATTATAATATTTTGTCTCACGTCAATTTTTAAAAAGTAATATAATATATTACATAAAAATTTAAAAATTATTATTAAACAATTTATACTTAAATATTTTGAATTAATAATTTAAATTTAACAAATTATTAAGTTAATAACTATCAAGCCACTGTAAGGGGAAGGTTTTAGTTTCAGCACTGCCAAGGGGGATTTCGGTCACAGCACCACCAAGGAGAGGTTTTCAAAAGGCAGGGCTATCAAGGGTGAGGGGTTTGGGCAAAGGAGGGTATTTTGGTGATGTAAAATGCCCTACCTAGGTAATTTTTTGTTTTGGACCTGTTTTGGAATTATTTTGTTTTTGAGATACCGGGTAATTATTTTTACCAAGCCGTCCGGCTTGGTAATTTTTCCCGTTTTATTTGGAATAGTTTAAATTTAACTTCACTTCAAGCATAGCACCATCTAGAAAATGGGAAAAATGATTTCTTAACAAGAACAATCTCCATACATGCACTGGAACAGGACATCAAAGAAGGATAGCATCCAATAAAATATTTGTTTATCTTACAAAAATACAGACAAAGATGATAGCACAAACCAAACAGACCTACCTTAAGGGATTCATAACAAAAGTGATAAGCTAACTTTATTATCAATTATCATCCACTGTTCAACCGTAAAGCCGTACAAGTATATTAAGCAGCAGCAACTGTTTCACCCGTCTTTGATTCAGGTGCAGCTGGGGCATCAGCTTCCCAAAATGATGTCTTCTTCCCAGTCTTGGAGACTTTCTGGAGGACCACTTCTGGCTGCACGTTGCCTTTCACGGTTACTTTTTGCTCCTTCAAATCAACATTAAATGACTCCACCCTAACAGGTTGAAAAAATATGCCTCAAAATCAAACTTCTGTAATAGCTTTCAGCTTACAGTAATAAGATATAACATACACATCACCATTCAGCTTAACTAAACATTTTCTGAACTACATGGGATTAACTAAATAAGCATGCATCAACATCCTCTTCTCAAGTCTTCCTCGTGTCATTTAGGCACGAGAATACAGCAAATTACTGAGTGACCCTCAGCCCAATGACATAAGTTCTCAATCAGCTTGACCATATATGCAGCATTAGTCATTACACACAAGTTCAACTCAGTGAAGAAGACAATGAAGAGAAAGGGAAAAAGAAAGGGATGATGTGTTTAGCTAAAACAAGGTATAATTACCACAAATGGCAATTTCAGAACTAATTCTGCACACGTAATTTGGGAAATAAATCACCACATCAAAAAACAGACACAAAGAAAAGCAAGCAAAGCACACGACCTAAATCTGCAGACATTTTTTTACCAAATACCACAGGTTGAAAAAGTCTCAAACTAAATACTATGTGATTGAGAATAAAAATTTGGCCATCTATGATCTCATTTGCTGCTTTCAAAGAACAAAAAAAGAAAGAAAGAAAGATCTCAACCTGTGAGCAATGTATTTGCCAATAATCAACAAAATTGTAATAACTGTTCCTCAAGCTCTCCATGTGGTAACCTAGTTGTGTAATATTCCATATAAAATCTCAACTCAACCAAGCCTTTTTCCAACTATATGTCCCTATAGAACCTCCCATGTAAATAATCTTAACCTTTTGAAATCTTTATTTGTCCACTAAATTACAAATGTCTTGTTTACTTATTTATGCGTAGAGAGGTGTAAGTAAGTATACAAAGCACTCTCTCCAAACTGCAAAATGAACTATTATATGCAGAAAGAAAGCTTGACCAATCAACAAGGAAACTTCAAGCACTTTAGAGGATAAATCATTCATACCCTTGTATGATGTGTCCACATCTCTCTTTTTCTAAGGATAAGATATATCAAATGTGAAAGCGGCAAAGGATATATAGCTAAAATGCCAGTTGATTTACCAAATCCCTCTCTACAATGTGATTGCTATTACTTGAAGTAATAATTCAATTGAAAGCCAGATTTTACAAGCTTACAACGGCACTGCACAAAACAAAGTCAGGGCTGCTGTTATGTGGTTTTATCTCGTGTCATAGGTTGAGCCCAATGAATGATAAGTAACAAATAAGAACAAGTTATGGACAAACAAAAGACCTTCCATCTTGCCCAGAAACCCTCTGTACGGCTCCCACACAGCCTTCACAGGTCATGCCAACCTTAAGAACCACTGTCTGCATTAGGATGGGAAAAAAAAATAAGTAAAGAAACAGATTACATTACTGCCATGCGAAAAGCCATCTGAATTGAATATGGATGACTTGAAATAGAATATAAACTTTTTCTATTAATTTCGTAATTTGTATTAGTAAGCATCTGAAAAGCAAATCTCAGAAAATTTTCATAGAAGCAAATATAAACTTGTAAAATTTACTTGCAAAACTACGGAACGTAGAAATTGTGACTGACAAAATAGGTCCAATTTCAGTAAATCTTTCTCAAGCATCATTGTCGATATCCAAAAGCCAGTATCTTATTACGTGCAAGACTAGAAAAACATAACCCTATATAGCATTATCTTTCTTTTCTCCTATGTTTCCAAACGGACAGAAGGAACCAGAGTGCTGTGCACAGGCTTCAAATATTCAACAACGCACAAATTGGTCGGGGATTGTAAGTCTTGATCACCGAAGAAATTATCTTGATTCATTTGCAATTTCCAATTGACTTTCCACTTCAATAAAGATTATCGATTATATTTTCCCAAGAAAATCAGAGCACAAAACTAAAAGACTAATGCATATCAATTGAAAAATTACTCGGAGCCAACGGGGATTTAATAATTACAGATGGTGAATGGATAACAAACATCTGTAAATCATAAAAGCGATGCTCGTTTCCATCTCCAGAAATTTACTCGATATTCAAAAAAGAAAATGATTCCTGTGAACAAATCCAATATGAAAAACACAAACACTGGTCCCAATTTAAATCCGTAAATCTCCGGTCTGAAAGCAAAAACGCAAGTATGAACTAAAAAAAGGGATTAGTAGATTACCTGAGACATGACGACGAAGTATTGAACTCGATAAGAGCGAGAATAGAAAAGAAAGAAACAGGGAGAATTTTGGGACGCCGCACTTGCCCTGGGGATGGGTTTTGAACCTGTATTTATGGACGGAGAAGAAACGCGTAAGAAGGATTCACTCGGGGTTCTACTTTTGGTTGGGGCACTTCTAATCTTCTCATTTGCAAAATATCTCGTAAATTTTGAATTTTTAAGATTAAGTCTCCAGATTATTTGAACGTTTCTAATAGGTCCTGCAATTAAACCGTCTCATGTACTTAAAATAAGTACGTGGATGTTGGCCTTGCTCAAATAGTCTAAATTAATAAAAATTGATAAAAATTGTGATTTAATTTAATTTAATTTGATTTTAAAATTTTTTTTATACAATTTTATTATATATTTAATATGTATATAAAATCATATAAATTGAATTAAATTATATAATTTATATATATATAAAATTTAAAATCTTATATTAATATATTATAATTTATTTTTTTATTTGACTATCTAATTTTTTATTATATTTTATATTTATATTTACTCTAATAATTAAATATTTTTTCTTAAAGTTTGATTTGTGAGTAAAATTTTGTTATACTATATAAATATATTTGTTGTATAATGTATAACTATTATAATTAATTAATTGATAATGAAATTGTTGTGTAAAATAGGTTAAAAAAATAGATATCTAATTTTTAGAAAAAATCTATCAAAAATTTTTATAAAAGTAATAATTTAATCATTTCTATTTATAAATTATAAATTATAGTTTGAAACTGAACAAAATTATGAACTATAATTTAATTTAGTTTAATTTCTAAAATTCACAAATTATATAATATAATTTAATTTAAATTTAAATATTAGGCCTAATTAAATCATACTAAACCATGAAAACACCATACTCAAAATCTCACAAATATACAATATTTTTAATCCCAAATACTTTGGAAGCAAAGCATCGGCTCAACGTGCGGGTTCCTCTTTGGGGTGGAAGCAAGTTTCATATGGGCCTATTTGCATGGTTCCTTCAGCCTATAGATTTAATTTTAAAAAATTAAAATTTCAGGGATTGCATTGAGAAATTAGTGATAGTTAGGGGGCGCGTCTGGATTTTCTGATGTAATTATGAAAATTCTGTTGGGATTGGTAAGGGTTGGGTACGTGGTGTCAGCTGCGAGATAGGATTGGGTTGACTTTCGGTTGAAGCTAACCTTGCGGTGCCAATTTGTCGGGTAGCACGTTCCGAACGAGTGCGTATTTGAATTTTTTTCTTTAATTATTTTAATTTAATCCTGCCTATTGGATGACGTGAACCACGCTTAAAAATTCATCCATATTCATTCTCGTACTCGGCTGATGTTATGCTATGAAAATAATTTTATTTTTAAAAATTCATATATTTTATAAAATGTTAAAATAAATTCTTTTAATGTATTGGTTTTGAATATTTTTTAATATATAATTTTAAATATATTTTTAATATATATATATGCACTAGTTAGGACAATGGATGAGTTAAATTTTAATCCGAATTCAAATTTGATTAAAATATTTATAAATTAAATTTGATTATGAATATTTCTAATCCGAAATAAGTAAATCAGATATAAAATTAAATAATTCAATTTATTAAAGATCTGAATCTAAATTTTGATAATATATTTTATTAAATTATTAATTTTATATATATAATATTAATAAATTTAAATTTGTTAGAGATTAAATTAGGAAAATCAAAAATTGAGGAATCAAAATGATTAATAAAATAAAATTGAGAAATTTAATTATAATTTTATTATTTTCTTATTAGATCATATTGTTTTATTAAATAATGCATTATTTATCAGATTCAAATATGTTTTAATAAACACAATTCTTATAAAATTTCAAGTCAAATTTGGATATATAAATGAGTAATCAGATTTAAATTTATTTAATTCGATCTAAAATTTGACCTTTTAAGCCTTACACTAAATATCAGAAAATTTAGATACTATAATTTCTTATCCATCTTATTCTTATTTTATAATATACATAGCTGACCTATTCATATAAAATTTGTGGATGCCGTCGAGAGTAAGTAAAATTGTCATTCCATTATTCGAATTTTTTAAAATAAGTGAATATTTTTTACAAATTTTATGTCATTTTTATAATTATTGATTTATTTATTTATTGGCTAAAAGCTCTACATCACCTCCCACAGTTGCGGAAAATTCTGGTTGATCTGGACCATATTGTCCCTCTTCTATCCTAGAATTTGTTCTCTATCAAATAAAAAAAGAAAAAAGAAAGAAAAGAAATCGTAAAATTAATTTGTTCATCCCATTATATATACACCAGACAGTTCGTTCATAGTTCCCATAATGTACACTTGAAATCTCACTTATCAGTGCTGGATACACTGATTTTTTTTTTTTTTAAAAAAAATTGATTTTCAGCTTGAAAATTGTTTAATTTAATGTAAAAAATAAAAAAAAATATAAATATCTAGAAAGACCAACTTTTGAAAAATATAATTTTATTAGTTTCTTATGTCCTTTTTTGTAATTATATTACTATGTTATCTATTTTTATATTTTTACATATATTTTTTTTGATAATTAAACAAAAAAGACTGACTTTGATATCAAGGAAATATCACAAAAATTTTAAATTTTTTCTTTCATAATAAAAATTAAAAAATGTAAAACTAATTTTCAAACAAACATACCCTTAATTTATCTAAAAATAAATAATTGATAACTGCTTTACTAGGAGAAAATAAGTGACAATTTTAGGAAGAGGTATAAGAAGAAAATGGTTTGTTATCTGAAAGTGACCTTTATAGAGTTTGAAATAGATTACTAATTATTTGCTAACTATAATAATGCTCCTTGATTCACGTTACTGGGTTGTTCAGCTTCCACCTCAAAGTCAAACCTGATTGGTGACATTCCCAACTGAACCCAAAACGACGTCGTCATGGCTTTTCTTCGAAGCAAAGTTCCAAAGAAACCCCAGCTACCTCTTTTATTTTTGTAGTTTTAAAATTTTTTAAGGAGCAGTATGAAAGCTGTTTTGGGTCTCGTACTGGTAATAGTGCAGGGATGAAAGTACCATATATTTAGATAATAGTATCGGAAGAGAACATTTCAACTCAATTAGATTTATAATTAAATAATAAAAAATATTTATAAAAATTTAGAAAAAAACTTAATATAGGTAATATATGGGAAAATTACCAAGCTGTCACACTCATAAAATTTATTACACAGAGATTCAATTTTATAAACATTGACATAAAGGTTTAAAATAAAAAATATTATTTAGAAAGAAATTTAATTTCTTGAAATATCTTTCTACAGTTTTTAACATCTAAATTATAAGTATTAATTTATAAAATAATAAATAATTTTTTTGTAAAATTATTGTAACTTCAACCCCTAAATGCTAAAATCACCCAAATTACAAGAATATATTTATAATTTTATAAATAAATATAACTAATAAATATAATTTTACAGAAATATACTTATAATTTACAAATTTATATTTATAACTTTATAAATTTATACTTATAATTCAAGTATAAAAAAATATTTTATAAAATTAAATTATTTTATAAGTCAATATTTTTTATTTTTAAATTTTTCAACATAATAATTTTGATACTAACCATTTGAATAATAAATTTTACTTTGCTAATTCACTTGCCAATTTTCCTGTAACATTTTAAAGGGATAAAACGTGTATACAGTTGATTGTAGTAACACTTTTTTGGGCCAAAGATTGTAGTACAGTTGGTACTTCTTTGTTTTGTTGGCAACTGTACTTCAATTGTTTACTTCTCTAACAGTTCAACCGGCGGTTTACACTTGTTTAACCAATAAAAACTGCCGGCTTAATTTGGTTTAAAATGGTTCAAAGGCATGGACAATGAGGACTAACTATTGGTCGTTGGACCCGTTCGCAACAAAGCGGTTGACTCGGTTATCAAAATTGATTTTTATGAATTTGCAGATCAAAGCTTGTTTTGTTCCTGGACAATCCTACCCTGGCCATGGGGAGCAGATGAGAGGTTAAATTATCCTCTCAACCGCCCTCCTCCATCTCAGCCGCCTTCTAGCGGCAACAATCAAATCTCTCTCTCTCTC